CAGACCAGATTCCCTGGCATCCACCTGCAAGGATAACAGATTTCCTTGACACAAGGATAGAACAGTGATTAACAGGATAACTGAATTTCTGAACTTAACTCAGAGCCAAAGAAATGTGACCTAGGCAGTATACAGAATGTTGGTGGTGATACAGAATAGAATAAATTACAAAAGGGGAGACAATATCAATTTGATTTTCCCATTTCACTTTGCATCGGTTCATGTCTTTTCATACTTCTCTGAATTCATCATTTTTGTAGTTTCTTATATCACAGTTGTCCTTCAGTCAAGTCTGACATTTTGTGACCTCGTTTGAGGTTTTCTTGGCAAAGGTACTGGAGTGGTTTGCCATTTCCTTCTTCAGCTCATTTTACAGATGAGGAAACTGAGGTAAATAGGGTTAAGTGACTTGCCCAGGGTCACACTGCTAGTAAATGTCTGAGGCTGGATTTAAACTCAGGCCTTCCTGATTCCAGACCTGCCACTCTAGCAGGCATTATACCATCTAGCTGCCCCTTATATCACAGTATTATTCCATTGCATTAATGTAACATAATTTCTTTAGTCTTTCTTTAATTGATAGATATCTACCTTGTTTCCAGTTCTTTGCTACTCCCGGAAATGCTGCTCTAAATATTTTGGTGTTATGTGGAGCCTTTCTTTTTGTCAACAACCTTCATAAGGGCATATGCCTAAGTATTATCTCTGAGTTAACATTTTAGCCACTTGATTAGCATCATTGCAAATGGTTCTCCAGAATAGTTGTGCTAGTTCCCAGCTCTACCCTAAAGCATTATAGACCACAACCCCTCCAGCATCAGCTATTCCCATCTTCTGTTGTTTTTACCTGTTCTTTGGAGGTGAAGTGAAACTTTGGGTTTGTTTTGATTTGCATTTCTCTTATCGTTAGTGATTAGAAACATTCTCTCATATGGTTGTTAAAGTTGTCGAATTCTTTGAGAGTTATTCGTGTCCTTTGACCACATGTCTACCCCTCTTTGTTCATTTTACATTGTTATCATTGTTTTGTTCTCCTACTTCTGTATATTCTGCCTCAGCATATATGTCTTCCTATTTTTGTGAATTCTTCATATTCATGGTGTCTTAATGAGATATGATTTTTTTTCTCTATGTTCATGTATCACAATTTGTTTAGCTTTGCCTCAAATCAGTGGACATTGCACCTTTCTTTCCTGTTTCTTGTTACCACAAAATTTTTTGCTAATTTGGTTTTTATGAGACTTTCCCATCTCTGACCTCCTTAGGGATGTGCCTTGCCATTTCTCCCTCCAGTTATTTAAAATAATTGATTTTTCTTCACTTGAGTAAGATATTGCTAGGGCTGTATGGCATAAAGACAGTTGGATCTAGAAGGGCAAAACATAAGCAATAGGTATTCAGAAGCAGTCTAGTTAGCTGCCCGCCTTCCCATTAGCCCACCCTGAGCCTTGGCACTTAAGTTTATCTCTGATCCATCGACAGCTAATGAGGTTTTTGTGGTCTAGGGACGACTTAGTTGCCTATCCTTAGTTTTCTTCCCTTAAGGGGGTAAAATTGTGGAACACGTTATAAACCTTAGCCTAATTTAAAAAAAAATTCAGTTCCCAGTTCTCTCCCTTTCTCTTGCCCCTTCCCCAACCCTTGAGAAGGCAAGCGATACAATACTTATTATACATGTGAAGTTGTGGAAAACATATTTCCCTATTAGCCATGTTGCAAAAAAAAAAAAAAAGAAAAGAAAAAAAGGCAAGAAAAAGAAAGTGAAAAAATGTTTCAGTCTGCCCTCAGAGTTCATCAGTTTTCTCTGGAAGTGGATAGTATTTTTCATCTTGAGTCCTTTGGAACTGTTGTGGATCATTATATTGGTCAGAGTAGCTAAGTCTTTCATAGTTGATTATTGTTATACTATTTGCTCTTACTATGTACAATTGAATACATTATGAGTTTTAGAAATATATATATGTATATATATGTGTGTGTACACACACACACACACACACACACACACACACACACACACATTTCATGTTTGGCCTGTGTCCTGGGCTACAGAAGCTATGAAGGGTCAGGGACTCAGTGTGTTGATTTTATATCTGTTTTCCATACTTGCCCCATGTTCCTGCATTTACATATATCTCACAGAGACTATGGTGTGTGAATACAGCATGCCTGACAGCAGTTTGGGTGGGCTAAAAATGTGTGTACCCTTTTATCACTCTTAGAACTTTTTTTTTTTTTTTTGAGGCAATCAGGATTTAAGTGACTTGCCCCGGGTCACATAGCTAGTAAGTGTCTGAGGTCGAATTTGAGCTCAGGTCTTCCTGACGGCAGGGCCAGTGCTCTATCTACTACACCACCTAGCTGCCTTCTCTCTTAGAACTTGGGAACATGAGAAATATAATTTCAGGGTTCATAGAATGCTATTATTGGGGCAGCTAGGTGGCACAGTAGATAGAACTCTGGTCTTAGAGTCAAGCAGACCTGAGTTCAAATCTAGCCTCAGATACTTGACACTTACTAGCTGTGTGACCCTGGGCAAGTCACTTGACCCCGATTGCCTCACCAAAAATAAAAAAGTAGAAACATAGAATGCTATTATTGATAGTTATGGAAAGCCTAAAAGGTTTTTAGGGCAGTTATGCCAGATATAGAAGACTGAATGAGATTGGGATAAATTGTGGTTAAAGTGACCCAAATTGTCTTCCATAAGTAAGTATTCTCTGTGTTAGTTAAACCAATTTAAAAGGGTTGTTTAGAGAACAGGTGGAGAAAGCAAAATTAAATCCATTGTGCCAGTTATCCCAGATAAAGGGCTTAGAAAGTTAGAATTGTTTGGGTCCAGTGGACCAGTTCAAGTTACTTTGGAGTTGGGTGCAAGCATCTTCACTGGCCTGCTCCAAAGCTCTCTGTGTCCAGTTGTCTGCCACATGACGTCCAGACTCTTTGTTTTTACGACTTTCTATAACCTGGCCCCCACCTATTTTCAAGACCAATGTCATAATTTTACATTGTATATCCACCTGAATTATTTAATTCTCTCTGAACAAGAAACACTTTGTTACTTCCCTGCCTTTGCTCTTGCTAATAGGTTTAGACATGGAAGAGACCTAGAAGGACATTGAATCTCCTTAGGCTTAGAATGCCCTCCCCCCTTCTCTGTCCTTGCCTCTTGAAATGTTAACCTGTTCTTCTAGGCCTAGTTCAAGTGACACCTCCACCAGGAAGCCTTCCCCTCCCACCCTTCTAGCCAAAAATAATTTCTTGAATTCACAAATGCTTGGTAAGTACATTTTCTTCTCCCAATTAAAATAAAACTTGGATAAATTGCTCTCTAGTGATTCCTTCTCTCCAGGCCAAGATAAGAACACTTTGATTGTTTGCCTGCCTTACTCATATGCTTGTCAACTGGATTGAACGGTATTCTCAGAATCTTCCCAGATCCTCTTGACTACCAGGTGGAAGTGTTTTCCTTTTTGATGACAGGAGTTTGGTAGTCAAGGACAGGCTGGGGAAGCTCTGATCTAGGTTGTCTCCACTTTCCTTCCCTTCTCAATTGTGAAAGGCTGAGACTCCTCTGACTTACAGTGTCAAAGATAATTGCCAGTGCTGAGTCACTCATCAACACCTTTGAGCTCCCATAATACAGAGCCAGCTGGAGTGAAAAGCATCTTCCATCCTGGCTCTAAATTACTTTGTATGAGGGGGGACACTGTTGAATCAGAAAAATAGGGCTATGGATGGGTCCCCATCTCAGCTCTGCTGTAACTGTTGAGTTCAGCCTGGGGCTTGAGGAAGAAGGGTTAAGGAGCAAACTTGATCTTTTCCTCGTGCCTGCTGTCTCTACTTGCCTATTCTATATTGGCTGTTTGAAAATATGATCACTCAGACAACAGCTTTGCCCCATGTTCTCCCCCCGCCCAAGTCTTTGAAATTGGACTATCCATACTTGGATTATTCAAATCCTTAATTTAAAATGATTTAGAGGATTAGCAATAATCAGTCCATTTCTTAAAGTTGCTATGTAGGATCAAGGAAATCAATAACCTGACCATTCCCACTTTCAGTGGCATGGCTTTGTTCTCCATGGGCTGGGAGTTGTTTGGGGGAGCACTTAGAGAATGAACACCTTCTCAATTGATCTTTGACTCTTTCAGAGTAGAGTAGGAGGAGAAATTATCTGCTGCTTTCTCTGCTGTCCTGATACTTACCCTAGTTATAGCTGAACGTATGTTGAGATGAGACAGGGGACCACATGGGTAAGGTCTTTGGAGGTAGAAGTATCTTCAAATATGAGCCATTTTTTGGAAGGAAGGAAGAAGGAATTTTTTGTGTGCAAGAATGCGAACAAGTACATGTGTCTTTTTTTCCTGTTTAATAAACATTTATATATACGTTTTCCCCCAGTTACATGTTAAAACAAATTTTTGACATTTTTTTTTAAGTTTTGAGGTCCAAATTCTACCCCTCCCTCCCTCCCTCCCTCCCTCTCCTCTCCCATTCCTGAGATGGTAAGCAGATATAGGTTATACATGTGCAATCATGTAAAACATTTCCATATTAGTTATTCTGTATTCAAATTATATCAGTTCTTTCTCTGGGGATGGATAGTATGCTTTATCATGATTCCTCTGAGATTGTCTTGGATCATTGTATTGCTAAGAATAGCTAAGTCATTCACAGTTCTTTATTGTACAATATTGCTGTTACTGTGTGCAATGTTCTGCTCACTTCACAAGTATGTGTGTCTTTAAAAAGCTACATTCTTCTAGGAAGTCTTCTCTGATTGAGTGATGACAGGAGGGAAACAGTCTTAACCTGATTGAGAGCTGTCTTTCCCTGGACACCAGTAAAATGTGGGACAAGTCTGGTTTTCTGTGTCAAGAAAATTAGAAGTATAGCCATGTATGCTCCTCCTCCCCCCAGACATTGGGGGCATCTCTGTGTCCCCTCAGTTTTTCTTTGTGTACTCTGGCTCACCTCACTTTTTCTTCCTCTTTCAGGCTGACGGATCCCAAGGATGCTGCTGCTGCCTGAGGCGCAGGGCACCGTGCACGAGCTGGGTCCTATGTGGCTGTGAAATGGCTCCCTCATGGCCTCTGCAGGGACAGAGCACTATAGGCTTGGCCTCCGCCGGGGAAACAGCTTCAAGCAGGGTGGTCCCCCGGGCACAGTGCCGACCCCACCAGCTGAGAAACCCTCCGAGGGCAAAACCTGGTACCAGGCACAGCAGCAGGTGAAGCCGATCTGGAGACTGGAGAAGAAGCACTTGGGGACCCTTTCATCAGGGCAGGGCACTGGCACCCTGGGGATCACTCCCCAGCCAGCTTACTTTTTTTACCCCAACACCCTGTGTAACTCTGGGACCGCAGCTGTCATCACAGGCCACGGCAATTCCCCCTGTCATCTGCACTCCCTCCCGGACCTTTTCAGCAGCACTTTGCTGTACCGGCGCTCCAACTACAGACACAAACCTTACCAGCAGCTTGAGTCTTTCTGTTTACGGTCAAACACATCGGACAAAAGACCCTTCACTCTCTCCAGAAGGAGCCTCCCTGTAGGTCTCCCTGCCCCTAAGGTCATCACCCCAGCTGCAGGTTCCATCCTTCCTGGAGCTATGGCTTCCTCAGCCACAGACCCATGTCTCCCTCTGAGAGCTGCTGGGGAGCACTCTTCAGGGAAGAGTGTGTCCCTTGCGGTCTCAGGGAAGATCCCTTCCTCCCTCTCTTCCTCCTCCTACAAGCCTGTACTCAACAACAATTCCTTCCTGAGGCCAAATAGCACTAAAGTGCCTTCACAGCAGGCCTCAGAGGGCCTGAAGCCAGTACCCCCACCCAAGATCTCAATGCCTGTCTCTTGGCATCATTCAGGGGGCACTGGAGACTGTTCCCCCCTGCACCTTGACTGCAGGGTATCCAAGAGCAATGGCACTGCCCCTGACCACGCCACTGCCCATAACACCACCATTTCCACCCATAACACCCTAATCACAACCACCACCAGCCCCCCTGCCAGAGGTGCCTCTCCCACCTATAACCAGAATGTCGCATCCCCAAGGGCAGAGGGGTCTTCCTGGACCTTAGCGGCTAAGGACAATTCCCGAGCCTTTTCCAGGGAGATACGATTAACTGAGGCTGTGAGAAAGTTGACAGGGAGGGGCTTTGCCAAGATGGGGCAAGGCTACCGGCTTGAACGGTCCTGTCTCATGAACCCCAGCTTCCACTGGAATCTCCTTAATGGGAATGGACGGTGGCAACCCCCTGTGGTGAGCCCTCGGTTTTCCCGAGAGGATTCAGTTTTGGAAACGAGACCCCTCCCCGATGGCTCTGACAACATGGGGTTGGACAGCACTGTCTTCTGTACAAAGCGCATCAGCATTCACCTTCTTGCCTCACATCCCAACCCTCCCAACAATGAACCTGCTGGTGGGACTGGGACGGGTGCCACTGGAGAGAAAACCCCAGCTGTCAGTGTGACAGACGTGGCCAACCGAATGTCTTCCATCCATCTGAGCCAGCCAGCTAGAGGACAGAAAGAAGGCAAGCAGCAGCAGCAGCAGCACTCACCGGTTAGAAGCCTCAAGTGAGTTACAGAATATCCTGCTTGGTGTCTTTCAGGAGCAGGGATTCTTAACCTGGTGAAGTCTGTAGACTCCTTCTCAGAAGAACATTTTTAAATGCATAAAAATAAAATATAGCGGACCACAAAGGAAACCAATAATACTGAAATAGTTATCAAAATACTTCTTAAAAGTTTGTGGATCCCAGGTTGGGAGCTCTTGGTCTAGAGGGTAGAGAGCTTCTTAATGAAGTGAGTAGACCCGGTGCTGCACCTCTGGTGGTTGGTTTAGTCACAGGGCTGAGCTCGAGTTTGATTTCTCCTTAGTGATGAGCAAGGGTCAGGGTGGATTTGAGAAGTTTCTCAGGTTAGATCTTTGAACAAGCTATAGAATCGGCGGTTACTTAGCCCATGCAAACCCAGGCCTCAGCACTTCTCCACTATGCAGGTTTATGGCCTACAATTCTCAGACGATCTGTTAAGTTCTAGGAGCCAGTCAGCAGCCATTTGAGTGTCTTCTGTGGGTAGACTGCTGTACCGGCTACTCTGAGGGAGTAAAGAAAGAGATGACAGGATCCCTGCCAAAGGAGGGATCATGGAGGGATCCTTAGTCTGGGGGAGCACGTAGAGCAAGATGTGAGGTCCAACCTGGGGAGCAAGGATTGAATGAAAGGGGGATCGATGGCTGGAGAGGAAAGCGGTGTGACAACTGAGTGTGTGGTATCGCTTCTTTATAGTTCAAATACTGACGTGTTCTGTGGTGAGGCTGAGGACGTAGAAGAGGAGCTGGGAGATGGGATAGAAGACTGTTGTAGCCAAGATGAGGATGAAGAGGAGGATGGTAAGCAGTTGATTCTGCTGCTCTTGTTTGCTTGCTTGCTGTTTGTCCTTCATTTTAAAGAGGACCATGACATCAGGGCCGTGATGCCTTGACATGCACGGGAATTGGATGTAAGTGAGGGAGGGCTGTGCAAAGTCATCAGCCTCACTTTTTCCTCTGGAGCCATCTGGGTCCAGTGGCCAGATATGGATCAGGATGACTGGAGATGGCCCAGGGTGCAGTGGGTTGGTCTTTCAAGCTAAGGTCTTTAACAGATCTCGGTTTGACTGAGGCAGTGCCCATTCAATGATTAAAGCTTAATAAAATGAGGCAAAGAATAGTTGTCCTGAGGGCACCAGGAAGGATACTTTCTAGTGACTGACTGATCCCACTAATCCCTAAGTCCCTTTCAGAATGGTCTTTTTTCCTTCCTGCCATTTTCCCTTTGGGTATCATGTGCATAACTTCTGGGCATCTTAGAAGTCACTGCTTTCTCTTTTTTCCCATTAGAGGACTCCGAGTGTTCTTCAGTCAGCGGTGTCTCAGCAAGTGAATCAGTTGCAGTGATCTCTCGGTGAGTGACTGGGAAACCCAGAGCCTGCACATCAGTTAGATTGCTCTCTCTTCCAGATTATGGAGAACTTAGTCATCCAAGTATCTGGGGCCCTGGGAGTCCCTACCACAGAGTGCTCTGCTTTAAATTCAGTTTAGGATCCGGTAGAGATGGAAGGGACCCACAGAAGAATTCAGAGTTATGCTGTCTTCAGACCCTGAATCCTTCGTCCCCTTGTCACATTGCCACTCTTCCTTTTCCAAAGCCAACAAAACCTGTATTACTCATTGTTGCTTGCATGCTGCTGACTACTGCTGAGGGATGTCACATAACCCTGCTAAGCAGAGGTCCTCTGCAAATATTTGTACCCTAATCACAAGATCCTTCCTGTTGCACTATGATCCCTTTACTCTTCCCTGATTGCCTCTCTGTCTTACTTTCTGCACTGGCTATTCCAAACCCCTTCAGAAGCTCTCTGTACCAACCCTTCCCTCTTGGTGGGACACCTTGTTTCATATTTTACTGAAAAAAAAAATTGAGGGTTCTTTTGAATTAGCTTTCTTCCCTAATTCACATTTCAGATCAATTCAGCATTGTCTTCTGTTCTTTCTTCCTTTGCTCCCTCCAGTCTCTGGGAATGAGAGAGCCTTTCTCCTAACCCATTCTATCTTGTCTTTCTGTGCCCCCGATTCCCTTCCATCTCTTCCAGGAACTTGCCTTTTTGATCATCCTCTCACCCTAATTTTCTTTTTATTGATAGCTTTTGTTTGGATATCATATTTATTTCTGAAAATATGCCTTCCCTACTGAATGAGCCTTTCTTTATAACAGTAGTTTAAAAATAAAGGAGAAAAACCAGTCCAGCAAAAGTAATCAACGCGTTAACTATGTCTGACTACGTATGTTATTCCACCTCCATAGTCCCCTGCCTAATTTTTAATCTCTCCTTTTCCACTGGGTTCTTCCTTGCTGCTTAAAAAAAACACGCTTGGATCTCCTCTATCCTTTTAAAAAACCTTTCAAACTATCATCATGTATCTCTCTCTTTATAGCCAAACTCCCAGAAAAAGCTATTTACATACATTGCTTCCACTTCTCTGTTTTCTGCTTACTTCTGCCCCCATCACTCAACTGAAACGATATTCTTTTGGGATCACTAGTGATCTCTCTGTTTCTAAATCCAATGCCCTTTCTCAGTCCTTGTAGATCTGGACCACTCTGTAGAGTTTGATACTATTGACCACCCTTTCCTTATATTTTCTCCTCGCTGGCTTTTTAGGACGCCACTATGTCTTTACCTGTGTGACTGATCTCAGTTTCTAGCAAGATCATCATCATCCATGTCCCACCCTCTATGAATTGGTGTATTTTGGGACTCTTTTCTGGGCCCTCTCTTCTCCTCTCTCTAGGCTCTCTCCCTCTTAATAGGCTTGTCAGTTTCCATGGATTTGGTTGCCATATCAATGCAGATGACTCCCAAATCTACGTACCTAACATTTATCTCTCTCCGGAGATCCAGTCCCTTTTCTCTCATTTCATTCTGGATATTTCTACATAGGTATCTCATAGGAGGTCTCTCAAATGTAACACGTCTAAAACCGAGCTCGTTACCTTTTCCCTCCAAATCCCATCGAGGGCACCATAGTTCTTTCAGTCACCCAAGTTTACAACCTAGAGGTCATATTCAACTTCTCATCCTCACTCAGTACCCTACTGCCTCCCCATCTCTATTCTTTCTTCACTCTAATCTCCCTGATTCAGGCCCTCATCACCTCTTTCCTGGACTATTGTAGTAGCCTGTTGCAAACCTCTGGTGCATCTTCCATACAGCTGCTAAATCCATCCTCGTAAAGTACATTCTGCCATTCTCTTGCTCAGTAAACTTCAGTGGTTGTGGAGGGGATTAGGACAAACTCCCTTGTCATTTAAAATCCTTTTTGGCACCTCTCTCCACTTTTTTTTACAGAGATGGGGGAACTGTGATTGTGACGCCCTGAGGAAATTGCCTGACTTCCTTGATATTGGAGGATCATAGGCCTAGAGTTAGAAGAGGCTGTAGGAGTGATCTAACCCAACTCCCTCATTTTACAGACAAGAACCCGAGGCTTGGGGAATGAAGTGATTAGCCCAAGGTTACCCTGGTAATAAATAGCAGAGCTGGGCTCAAGAGTTAAGTCATGCCCAGACCTCCTGCTCCAAATCCAGTGTACTTTCTGTTGCACCATAGATTGCTGAAGGTGTATCCCAGAGTAAAAAGGATTAAGAACATTTGTCAGAAATGACAGTGACCTTGAAATCATACCCTATATGTTCGTACCTAGGAAGTTGTTGATGAGCATCTTTCCTTTCTGGGGAGCAGGGATTTGTACCCCCAGCATACTGAAGAAACATACCTCTGATACCAGCAAGTCTCCTTATTCTTCTACCATGTTCCTGTCTTCTCATTTTAGGAACTGCCTGGAAGTTCTGACCAAACCGCTTGCCAACCATGAGAAAGTTGTCCGGCAACCCCTTATCTACAGCCTCTTTCCTAATGTACCCCCTACCATTTACTTTGGCACGAGGGATGAGAGAGGTAAACCTGCAGAAGCATTTAAAATCACAAGAGCCAGTGGGAAAAAATTCAGTATTTGGGGTGAAGAGAAGAGGTCTTATGTAAGGATAATCCATTGGGGAGGGTGGAAATAGGGAGTGGGTTTGGACTGCCTAGCCTCCAGAGGTCAAGTATAATGAATATACCATTTATCAAACTCTTTGTGTTCAGGTCTTTGTAAGAAACTGTGGTTCTCATAGGCAGACCATAACTTCTAACCCTAGCCTAAATTCCCTTCTTAGGCTCTTACTCTTTTCCCTATATTTTCCCCCTTCCTGACTAATCCTGCTCCTTTACTCTCTAAATCTTTCCTCTAGTCTTTGTTCCTTATTCCTTCCTGCCTCTCTCCCTCTTGACTTTTATTTTATTTATTTAAAAACAATTTTTTTTAATTTTTTATTTTATTTTTTTTAGTGAGGCAGTTGGGGTTAAGTGACTTGCCCAAGGTCATACAGCTAGTATGTGACAAGTGTTTGGTCTGAGGCCAGATTTGAATTCAGGTCCTCCTGACTTCAGGGCCGGTACTCTATCTACTTTGCCACCTAGCTGCCCCCGTCTTGACTTTTATTATAGAAGTATCTTGTCCGTGAACATCTCTCATTTATTGTAGGAAGCGTTGAGCCAGAACAGTCCCAGAGGCTCATTTGGCCGTGGATGGAGTTATTGGTAGCTAAGTCTGGTTATTTCCTCTCTATTCTACCACCCCTAACCTTTCTTTAGTGGAGAAGCTACCCTGGGAACAGAGGAAGCTGCTTCGTTGGAAAATGAGTACAGTGACTCCCAACATTGTCAAACAGACCATTGGACGCTCCCACTTCAAAGTCAGCAAGAGTGAGTGTCAGCTTGTTCTGCCTCATTTACCAGGACTAGTGTTGCCAAAGTGCTCTGACCTTGCTGTGGGATGTGAACCTTTGCATCCGGAGCACTTCCCGCCTTCTGGGGAAGGTGCTAAGGGATTAGGACTCAGCACAGATGTTTCTAGAGAAGAGTGCATTAATGAAGGGCTCATGGAAGGAGGGACAAATGTTATAAACATGAGAGAAGAGGAGGCCTTGAGTTCTTGTCCTTTCATGCTGTGTGAAGGATGGGGCTCTGAAGATGGAGAAATAGTTTTCCAACCTTGGCTGCAGAACCACTCTCGCAGAGCTATGTGACAACTCTTGGTTGTCTGATGTAGGCATGGTGCCGTGGTCTGAGTGACCTACCTGGGCACAGGTGGGGTTTTAGAGCCTCCTCCCTCCACAAAGGGAGAGACTGACTCTTAAAATGTGTTCCACAGAAAACGATGATTGGCTGGGCTGTTGGGGTCACCACATGAAATCTCCGAGTTTCAAAACAATTCGGGAGCATCAAAAGGTAGGAGCCATCCCTGTACCAGGCTGTTGGGAAGGGAGCACTAAATTGGATAGAGAGGGAAAAGTGGAGAAACCCAAAGACTTTCAAATAGGCATGGAGAAGAAGGACAGTAGGCTACCAGATTAGAATCAGCTTCAAGCCCCCGGGCTCCAATCCAGTCCACTCACAAAGTATCTGAGAGTCACTCAATTATTTATTGATTTTCTCTCTCTCTCTCTGTCTCTCTCTCTCTGTCTCTCTCTCTCTCTTTTTTTTATTAATTTATTTTTAGTTTCCAGCAATCACTTCCATATGCTTTTGAGTTTAAAATTTTTCTCCCCTTTCCTCCCCACCTCCCTCCCCAGTACAGCGTGCAATCTGATGTAGGCTTTACATATACATTCTTATTAAACATATTTTCACATTAGTCATGTTTTAAGGAAAAATTAGAACCAATAGGAGGAAGGACAAAAAAGAGGAAACAAAACAAAACAGAAGGAAAAAAAGAACAAATAGTATGCTTCGATCTGCATTCAAACTCCATAGTTCTTTCTCTGGATGTGGATAGCATTTTCCATCATGAGACTTTTGGAGATTCTTGGATTGCTGAGAAGGGCCAAGTCTATCAAAGGTAGTCCTTGTACAACGTGGCTGTTACTGTGTCACTCAATTATTTAGCAACAACTGTGTCCCAGCCACTGTGCTGGTTGCTAGTTATAGAAAGACAGAAAAGAAAGCGACTGGTTTAGTCCTTGCCTTTCTGTATGCCAGCTTGGGTGTATCACTCCAGTCTTAATTGCCATACATTTCCTCCATTCGTTCCACTAAGCTGGTCATTTTTGTAAAGCCCAGGGGCCTGTGGTCCCTTGTTGAGACAAATAGACTCGGTTTCTTGTGACCAGGTCTGCTAGGGAACAAGTACATCTCCTACTCTTGTCTCAGACTGCAAAAAAAAGCCACAAGGGTCTAGATGCAGCAGAGACGTGTTGATAGGGCCAGCTGGTCTTTTCCTTTCACGAGTAAAATCTCTCTCCCAATTGCCATTGTCTAAGTGATTCCCGAAGCTGCTGAACTGGCCTCGGCAGCTGGACTGGATGGCATCCCCTTTCTGGCTGCCTTCTTCCTTTCTTTGCTGCCTTAGCTACTCTCAGCATTTCTCTCATTTCTCCTCCTTTCTCCCTCTCTTCTTTGTAGCTGAACCACTTCCCAGGCTCGTTCCAGATTGGACGGAAGGACCGGCTATGGCGTAACCTGTCACGCATGCAGAGTCGCTTTGGTAAGAAGGAGTTCAGCTTCTTCCCCCAGTCATTCATCCTCCCACAGGATGCCAAACTTCTGCGAAAGGCCTGGGAGAGTAGCAGCCGTCAGAAGTGGATTGTGAAGCCGGTAAGGGGTGTGCAAGAGGTGGTGAACCAGACCTGGGAGGGAGCAAGAGAAAAAGGAAGGGTTCATGAGCTGACTCCGTTTCCTTTCTTGCTCTCTAGCCAGCTTCAGCCCGAGGCATTGGCATTCAAGTTATCCACAAATGGAGCCAGCTACCTAAGAGAAGACCCCTTCTAGTGCAGAGGTGAGCCAGCCTCTTTCCTCTCGTCCCTGGGGAATCGCCCCTACCGTCTCCCAATCTTCCCAGCCACCCCCCGACACTTCTGCATTTCTTCTTCCCCTGTTTCCTTTTCAGAGGTGGCTTTCTTAGGGCCAAGCAACCTTTTGTTTTTGCTTTGAGAGCTTAGCCCTCAAACCGGTCCTTCCTCCCACTCTCCCATCTCTTTTGTCCATTCTTGTACCTTATGCTGCTACTGCTGTTGGCTCCTGTCTCCTCTCCTGTGAAGGTATCTGCATAAACCCTACCTCATCAGCGGGAGCAAGTTCGACCTGCGGATCTACGTTTATGTCACCTCATACGATCCCCTTCGGATCTACCTCTTCACAGATGGACTTGTCCGCTTTGCTAGCTGCAAGTGAGTGGTGAATATCATCCTCTAGCATATGGATCTGTTCAGCAGGAACTAAAGCCGATCAGATAGATGAAAACAATTTTTTTTCCTTTACCTTTTTTTTGGTGGGGGGGGTGATTGGGAAGGGGGGCAGGGACTGTCCTCTGCAGGACTGCATCCAGGAGGGCTGCTTGGAGGAGGACTAAGATAAGAGAGAGGAGCAAGGCTTCAGCTTGAGTTCGCTGGGGTTCCTGCCCCCCACTTCCCCAGTCACTGCTATGACTGAGAATGCCACTTTGCTGTTCCTCAGGGCTGGGGGAAGTGCTGGAGAGCCTGAATTCTGGTCTGGCAGTGTAGGGGAGCAGTGAGAATGGATTCCTTTGTGTCACTTACTCCTTTTGGAGCCAGGAGAGCCCTGACCTGCTTTCTTACTTGTTCCTTTCTGTCCTGCTGACTCCTAGATACTCCTCTTCCATGAAGAGCCTTGGCAACAAGTTCATCCATCTGACCAATTACAGCATCAATAAGAAGAATGCCGAGTACCAGGCCAACACCGATGAGAATGCTTGCCAGGGCCATAAGTGGTACTGTCTGAGGGCATGGTGCTGGAGAAGGGTGGGTTCCCAGAAGAGAGGGCAGTGGAAGTGCAGGGATTGAGGCAGGATCCAGGGCACTGGTGGTCAGCAGCAGAGAGCAGAGCCTGGCCAGTAAATGCAGGGCAGGTTCTTAACCTGGGCTCTGTGGAATTTTAAGAAATATTTCAATAGCTATTTCAATAGAATCCATTTTCTTTGTAATCCCATGTATTTTATTTTATACATTTTGAAAGAAAAGAGTCCATTCTCTTCACCAGGCTGCCTAAGGAGTCCCTGACACACAAACAAGATTACAAGCCCCTGGCTTAGGGGCTGAGTCTTCAAAAACACATCTACTGTCCAGGGCTGGTCTGGTTATATCCATGTTCACCTTCTTCCCCCTGAAATGTCAGGGGGTCTAAAAAAAAAAGAGAGGATAGAGAAGATAGCTTTAGACAGAAGCTCTTGGTCCCAAATCCTGCCTCGCCTAGAAACGTGACACTGAATGGACACTCCTTTTCTGTTGTGTTTTTTTTTTTTTCTTCAGGGCACTGAAGGCCCTGTGGAATTATCTGAGTCAAAAAGGAATCAACAGTGATGCCATCTGGGAAAAGATTAAGGATGTCGTCGTCAAAACCATCATTGCGTGAGTCATAGGAGACTCTAGCCTTTGGTGAATTAACCTCTATAGTGCGGTGCTTGAGGCCTCTTTGGGCCTTCCCAAATGAGCCCACTTGGAAGTTTTTGGGGATGGAGGAGTAAGAGTTAATGTGTGTGAGTTGGCTTTTGTTTCCCTGTTCTTTCCCCACATTGGTCTTAGCAGGAACAGGCTCAAGGTTGATGGGGATCTACTGTGGCCTGGTGCTTCCCCTCCTAGGGCTAGTTCAGTTTGCCAGGTGGTTCTGCCTGGACCATGGGAGCAAGCCCATGCTGTACCATCCTCCCCATCACCAGGTCAGAGCCATATGTGACCAGTTTGCTCAAGATGTACGTGCGCCGGCCCTACAGCTGCCATGAGCTCTTTGGTTTTGACATCATGCTAGATGAAAATCTGAAGCCCTGGGTCCTTGAAGTCAACATCTCTCCGAGGTGAGTGGTATCCTCAAGGGGACTCACCGAAGACCCTCCAGTCTGCAGTCTCATTTGCCTTCTCTCCTGAATTTTGGCCCTATTCCAATCCTTATTTTGCTAACTTTGGCAGAGCCTTTTCCTACTTTGGACCTCAGTTTCCTATCTGTGTTAAATAGATAGAATGCTTCCTGGTTATCCTTTTCCCCCATCATCTTATGGGACTTGAAGATGTCCCTGAGCTTGGTGTCTAGTCTCAGGAGGAGAGTTCCTAAGAAATTGTTGCTACTTCTTACTCCTGGGGCAAGGAGACCTTTGCAATGGAACTGTTGCATTAGAAATCAGGGCTGGGCAGTGTGCTAGAAAGAGCCCTGGGTTGAATTCCAGAGACCTCTCTGGATTCTGAGCGTTAACACTGAATGGCCCTGGGAGAGCAGTAAAAGAACTAACCTTTTTGAGTCTCTTTCCTCATCTTTAAGAAATAGTTACGCCAGCTCCCCCACGGGGTGGTGGTTGAAAAGCACTGTGTAAATTTAAGTTGTTATCACAGGGATCCCAAGCCCCTTGAATTCTGCAAGAGCAGGCAAGAGGAATGAGCAGAATTAGGGCCAAATGGTAATTCTGGACAAGAAAAATTCTGGGAATAAAGAAGATGTTGCTTTGATTACCCTGTATCTGCTTCCCTTCTGCAGCCTTCACTCCAACTCACCACTAGACATTAGCATCAAGGGCCAGATGATCCGAGACCTCCTGAACCTGGCGGGCTTTGTCCTCCCCCATTCGGAGGACGTCAGCTCCAGCTGTGGCAGCTCTAGCAGCTCCACCGTCAGGTAGGTCCTCTCGCCAGCTAGCCAGCCCCTTGCCCCATTGCAGCCCCTGGAGAATGCCGGCCCCAGGCCCCACTCAGGCCGCTCAGGGTCCTCCAGTTAGCCGTCTCCTGGATCCAGGCAGGCCTGACAAGGTTTGTTCACCTTGCCGTTGGGAGCTGGAGAGAGGTGTAGTATCTGAAATGTGGCCTTTCATTAGCCGTCTGATTGGAAGGATGTTGTGGCTCCTCTAGCACAGATCCCAGCCTCATTCTGTTCCCTTCTCTCTCCCTGGGAAAGGGCCTAATTTTCAGTGCTATTGACCCTGCCTAACCCCTCCTTCTCTTTGCTCTGACTTAGTCTTAGCAGTTCCACAAAGGAGAAGAGTAGGCTGGCTCCTGAGTACTTCACAGCAGAGAAAATGAAGAAAGCCTATTACCTGACCCAGAAGCTGCCTGATCAGGTGGGATGCCGAGCCTACCCCTGCCACCTTAGGAGCAGAGCTGGGCCTATCCCATGCCTCCTGAAAGCTGCCTTCCCCGTGGCCGGACCACACTGACTTTCAGATGGGTTGGATTTTACTCAGTGTCAGCTCTCTGACAGGCTTGGACTTAGGGGGCAGCGGCAGCTAGGAGTCTAAGGAAGGACAGACCAGCTAGTGGGGTGGGCCGAGGAGGAGGCCAGCAGCCTGGAACTCTGGGTTCTCCCCTAGACTCCATCCATTTCACTGTCTGACCTTGGACAAGTCACTTAGCCTTGGTGGGCCTCCCGTATCTCCCAAGACTGCAGAGCGGTGTCTTCTGTCTGATCTATACCCCATAGCAGTGAGAGGAAGGACAGCGGCCAGATCCAGAGGTGGCCCCCTAGCATCCCCACCCTCCCTTACCCTTTCCTGATGGAGTGACAGCTGCTGGATGCCTGCTCCAGAGCTGAGAGCATAGGGACCCTTCCCTCCAATCCCCAGCCCCAAAACTCGATTTAACCAAATCAGCACTGCCTCCCCCCACAGAGATCAGGTTTAGCATTCTCTGTCCCCTCAAAATCTGGCTTAGTATGCTCTGTCTTCCCATATCAGGCTCAGTGTGCTCTGTCCCCCCTAATACTAGGGCTCAGTGTGCTCTGTCCCTCCGTACCAGGCTCAGTGTGCTCTGTCCCCTCAGTACCAGGTTTGGTGTGCTCTGTCCCCCCCATACGAGGCTCAGTGTGCTCTGTCCCCCCTAATACTAGGGCTTAGTGTGCTCTGTCCCCCCATATCAGGCCCAGTGTGCTCTGTCCCCCTGTACCAGGCTCAGTGTGCTCTGTCCCTCAGTACCAGGCTCAGTGTGCTCTGTCCTCCCATATCAGGCTCAGTGCGCTCTGTCCCTCAGTACCAGGCTCAGTGTGTTCTGTCCCTCAGTACC